GTACTCATCCGTCCTCAACAGTGCCTCTGAGTTGGGTGGCATGGTCCTGTGACGCAAGCTCCCTGAGACCGTGGGAGACTAGGAACCATCGATGAAGACAGATTGTGTGGTTAGATGCAAGGCCAAATAGGGGAGGGGCAAGATTAAATTATGCAAACACGTGACCCATCACGCGGCTTGGCCGCCCAAAAAAATACCCGGCACCGTAGTTCTTCCGTGGGACGAATTTACACTTTTTGTCCTTTTACTGGCACACCTTTTCAACTGACATTTCGGTTATCAACTGGGGGGACGCAGCACCAACTTCTTTCTTAATTCGGACCTCATAGGTTATTACGGCAGAAGTCAACTGCTAAATCCAAATCTGTCAACGACCGACGATTAATTAAAACAGGGTTAACCTAATTATTTCACAATAGTTCACCGTTTCACTATTACTACTGAGCAACGTCAAGCTAAATGTGACCAATTCAATCAAGTGAGGGTGCACATGTGAAGTTAATTGGAAAGACTTAATGACACGGTCTTCTGAACATATATATACAGTAAAGTAAATTAAATGTCTTTCCATAGCGAATAAAGTACTTTTGTCAACCTGTTCACGGAACGTAATGGTTTCACTGTCACTAAATGTGGCCAGACGAACGAGGGGAGGTTTGACAGGTAAATGCACATGGGCGTACCTGAGTGTATGCTAATAAAGACAAATAGGGTCTTCTATAACTATATTTACTGGCAAATGGGTGACAGGGGCTCGTCTTTGCATAGCGATTAGAGTACTTTTGTCAAGTACTTTCTGTACGATCTGAGTCACCAAGTTTAATTACCCCATGCGCGCTTTAGAACGTCTCAGACTCTTCCGCCCAGATGATCGGGTCGGGCGGACCGTCTAAGACTCCACCAATCTGGCGCAAGATTACATCCTCCAGCAATTATACTTAAGCACACGCTTCATAAAGGTTGCATGGAGTGCCGATCCATATACATTGGTTAACTGAAGCGCGTGCAAATCATCCCGCACATGAGTTGAAACAATTTGAAAGTGAATAATAAGTTCAAAACAGTCCACCCATCGTTCATTAAGTAGATAACCCAATACATGTCTCCCAAACGCGTCGTATGGTAGCTGCCCTAAACCAAATGGGAGACTAGATCAGAGCGCTGCGGATGCCATTTGG